ATATGCCAACATCAATTCCACACCACTGTCACTTCCCTCCACCATTGTCTCCAATTTTCCAAGCACCCCTCAAGCCTGCCTCTGTAGCAGCCCCCCGAAAATTTATTTTAGATTGCTTGTTACTTGGCCAGAGTCATAGTACAGCGGGTAGGGCATTTGCCTTGCAAATGGCTGAGCCTGGTTCGATCCTTGCCATCCCATATGGTCCCTTGAGCACCACCAGGAGTAATTTCTGAGCATCACTGGGTGTGACCCAAAAAGCCAAAAAAAAAAAATATTGCCTGTTACCAATACATGGCTAATGCAGTGATGTAAAAACAAAAACAAAAACAACTCCTGAGTTTGAAGAACTATTATGCACAAGGATGTGAGTCGGTGTTGTGAGTTTAGGACTCTGAAAGGCAGGAGAGTTGATGGGGACAAAGTGGAAAGTGCAGATTTTGCATTGCTCCTAAGTTGCTCTCCAGGGAAGTTTGGGTTATTTTTTCATTATTTCTGTCCAGTCTCATGTCCACCCCCAAGGGAATCTCGTGCACGGCGGGAGGAGCCCGTGCTAATGAGCGGCTCCAAGGCTTGAATACTTGCTCTGCTCTGGGTTTCTGACCAGAGCAACCTCATGTGTGCCGGCACTCATTTGCTGCTTCTGGAATCCTGATTCTGGTCCCGGGACCGATGCTGTACCCCAGCCTGCCGTCTCGTGTGGGGACTGAGACCCAGCTCCCCATCATCAGTCATCCCGGGGACAGGCTGACTCTGACACGGAGTCCTGCCTCTCAGGGACCTCAGGGTAAGTTCTCCTGCCCAGTGGGCACTCTCCGATGGTCGAGCCAAGCTGGGCGCAAGCATTGTTCTATGGCCAGTGAGAACTGCCCAGCCAGATATGGGCCTGATTCCCCTGTGATTGTCACAGAAAAATGAAAACTCTCAGTGTTTTAGGAGTACCAAAAATCACCAATGTGGAGGGATGTGCAAATTGTTCTTTATCAGCGAGTCACCTTTGACTTACTTTTCTTTTCTTTTCCTTCCTTTCTTCCTTTCTTTCTTTCCTTTTTTTTTTTTTTGCATTTTGGGTCACACCCAGCGATGCACAGGGGTTAGCACAGGGGTAAGTCCTGGCTCTGCACTCAGCAATTACTCCTGTTGTTGCTCGGGGAATCATATGGGATGCTGGGAATCGAACGAACCCAGGTTGGCCGGGAACAAGGCAAATGCCCTACCCGCTGTGATATAGCTTCAGCTCTTGCATCTCTTGTACTGTGGTTTAAATACTGTCCCTTATAGGGTAGCACTCCCTTTCAGCACTCAGTCCTTGTCCATAGTGTTCACTGCCCTCTCTCATTGCCCTAGTGGGCCCTTCCCTGACCTCACCCATGCCCCTCAGTGGAGAGCTTCCTCCTGTGGACCAGATAGACCTCTTGCTCTTCATTTCTATTATGATGTTCAAAAAGTCTAGGCAAGGATAATGATTGCAAATACCAAATCACAACAGCGTTTCCTTTGGCTCTATATTTCTTTCTGGTTTTGGGCCGCACCCGGAGATGCTCAGAGGTTACTCCTGGCTCTGCACTTCTGGAATCCCTCCTAGAGGAGCTCGTTGGCACCGTCTGGCCTCATGCAAGGCGAGCACACTCTCTGCTGTATTTCTGTGAAAAACTAATACGATGGGAAAAATTGCTCAATGGGATGAATGCCGGCATTATAGAGGGAGGTCTGGATTCCACTCCTCAGCACCGCATGATAAGCATAGACAGGAGACACCTCCAAGGATTGTACCTCCCTCCAAAAACAAAACACCAAACAAATGAACAAATTCAAATGGTCAGGTGGCAGACTTTTGCCTTGCAGATGCTTTCTTCATTTGTGACATGTATGTATGGATTTGTTAGTGGATACCAGACATTTTACCAAACCCAAGTGTGTGAGTTCACAAAGTAAATCACGGGGGCTGCAGCTGCGACATGTTTGTGCATTCAGTGGCTCAGAGCTGCCTCCCTGACTCCCCACCCCCCAGGGCTCCCCAATAGTAGAGATAGAGACATGGGGAGATGGGGGACCACAGTCGATGGTAAAAATGGTCCGTTTAATGCAGAGTTGCTAGCATACTTCTAGAACATCTGAAGGGGGGTTGAGGTAAGGACATAGGTGTGATTGGTCATTTACAGAGATAAACATTTGGCAGAGGAAATTTTCTTGAGGAGATCAACTCAAGAAGACACTCTGTCTCCCAGGGACATCTATATTGCTTTTATCTTTCCCTCTAGTTGTATAAGTTATCAATTCTTGCAATTGTTTGGATGAACACAGCAAGAGACAAAGATCCCAACACTTAGTTCTCTGGGCTCTGAGAGCAAGCAAGGCTTTTACCGTAAATCCCAGACTAAGTCGTCAGGCCAGTTCAGCTTGTCCTTTCCCACTGCGGCCCTATCTCTTAGGTTGCACAGCTTGTAAGAAGACCACGCGTGTGTGCTTTATAGAATGTGCCATTTTGATGCCGGGTCGCTTTGCCACTCACCCCGGGTCCATCCCAGTCCCACGGCAGGACCTCCCTTTTGGGGTGTTAGGAAGGACAGCAACTGAAGCCTGAGTCAAGTAATTATGACGAAGTAATTATGCCCAGGAGCTGATATATCTCAGAGTCAATCAACTGCCAAACATTAGGAGCATAGCATTAATGGTCTTTCTGTGTTTAACCAAAGGACATTGCTCTATAGTAAACTCTAAAGAGGTTATAGGGGAGATAGAAAATCAGGTACAAATATTCAGCACTTCAAATACAAAGCAGTACAAAGACAAGTTCAGAATTACTAGAAAGTTTTGGCTTATAAGCAATCAAGACTGTCTTGGGGAACTGTGACAAAGAGAGGTAAAATACAAGGAAAGGTTAAGGATAAATTTTAACCAAATAAGGAATGCTAGCAAGATCATATTAAGCTTCTCTGAGAGGAAGAAAGGAATTCAATTAACTGATGAAGGCAATATCCAACACAAAGGAAAGGTTGAAGACAGACTTTAACCAAATCAGGGATGCTAGCAAGGAATGCTAGCAAGGGAAGCTTCTCTGGGATGAGGAAAGAAAGGGGCAATTTATAGGTGAAGCCTAGAACTCTTAGGGTTGAGATCCAACCAGGGGAATTCTTCAGAAAAGGAGTGATCTGTAATGCCAGTGATGACATTTTATTTCTGATGCTGTGTCAGTCTGGGATTGCTCCTTTTGGCGACTGTGTGTGTGTGTGTGTGTGTGTGTGTTTGTGTGACCTTAGCGTGAATGTCTAAACATGGCCTTGAGGCTTTATCCTCAGGACAATGCCAGCCTGATATTATCTCTGCAGGGTCTTCACTTTTCTGGTGGACGCACCTTCCCCTGTGGCAGGGAATTAAGATCAACTTGTCTGAATCAAGAGGCATCGGACTTAAAAGTCACAAAAGAAAAAGGGATTTGGTTTTAGAGGCTCTGCGTCACTGCTAACCACCGGTGCTTATGGGACCCTGTTCATAGTGAGATAAGACCAATAACATCTTTTAACTTTTTGATTGTTTTGGGTCCACACCCAGAGATGCTCAGGGCTGACTTCTGGCTCTGCATTCAGGAATTACTCCTGGCGGTGCTCAGGGAACCAGATAGGATGCCAGGGATCAAAACGGAGTCATCTTTGTGTAAGACAAACGCCTTCCCTGCTGTCTTACTGCTTCTCCAACTCATTTATTGTTGTTGTTGTTTGTTTTTGGCTCACAACCTGTGTTGTTCAGAGCCGACTCCTTGCTCTGTGCTCAGAGATCACTCTTCGCAGTATTCATTAAGTAAATGGCGTGCGGTAGGCTCATACGAGTGAGCACCCCAGACTTTTTCTCCAGCCTCAATTAAATTTGTTTTATTTTTGGTTTTGTTTCTGGGTCACACCCACCAGAGCTCAGGGCTTACTCCTAGCTCTGCACTCAGGGACGACTCTTGGCAGTGCTCAGGGGCTCTAAGGGATGTTGGGGATTGGAACCCAGGTCAGCAGCAAGCAAGGCAATGCCCTGCTCTCGGGACTATCCCTCCAGCCCCTCCAATCACACCTATGTCCTTGCCCCTCCTATTGTTTTCATCCTGTAGTGTTGGGCCTGAGTGTCTCAGTCTTTGAACATTCATCTTAAAATCCACGCTTGGGGGTCAGAGCACTAGTCCTGCCGTTAAGGTGCCTGTTTTCCATGCTGCAGACCTAGGTTCGAACCTCCACATCCCCTAGGGTCCCCTGAGCACTGCCAGGAGGGATTCCTGAGTGCAGAACCAGGGGTAACCCCTGAATAGTGCCTAGGTGAGGCCCCCAAACAAAAACAACACAGCAACAACAACAAAAATCCATTTTAAGATATTGGTGAAAATCTGAAAGGGAGTGAGAGATCACAGACACTCCTTTTATGCCTTTTCTCTCTGACTCCTCCACTTCTGTTTCTAGGGTGAGACAAATGCCTTGTGGGAAGGACGCGGAGGTGGGGGGGAGTCAGGTGAAGCCAGGCGTGAGCTTTGGCAGCAGGAAAATTCAGAAACCATAATCACATAAACACCAGGAGGTCTGCTCCACGGCTTGGAAGCCAGCAGCACATGCTGGGGGAAAGGGCAGCTCAGATGGAGAAGGGACCACCAAGTAAAAGGTGTTTGGAGGATTAGCTTGGGATGCGAGATGTGTGCTGAAAGTAGACTACAGACCGAACACAATGGCCACTCAATACCTCTATTGCCAACCACAACACCCTAAAGGAAAGAGAGAGCAAAAGGGAATGCCCTGCCACAGAGGTGGGGTGGGGGTGGGGGGTTGGGGTCGGTGGGAGGGCTACTGGGTTCATTGGTGGTGGAGAATGGGCGCTGGTGGAGGGATGGGTACTCGATCATTGTATAACTGATACCCAAGCATGGAAGTTGTAAGACTACAACTGTATCTCATGGTGTTTCACCAATTAAAAAAAAAAAAGGAAACCATAATCACAGTCTATTTCCCTCTCCTGGTAGTTGAGCCCAGCACATGGACCCAGGGAACCTTACAAGACTGTCTGAGTTTTTCCTCTTGGGACTATCAGAGGATCCCGAATTGCAGATCTACGTCTTTGGGCTCTTCCTGTCCATGTACCTGATCACTGTGCTGGGGAACCTGCTCATCATCCTGGCCGTCAGCTCAGAACCCCACCTCCACACGCCCATGTACTTCTTCCTGTCCAACCTGTCCCTTGTGGACATCTGCTTCACCTCCACCACGGTCCCCAAGATGCTGCTGAACATCCAGATGCAGAACAAAGCTATCAGCTATGAGGGCTGCCTCACCCAGATGTACTTTTTCATGCTGTTCATAGGCCTGGATGATTTCATCCTGACGGTGATGGCCTATGACCGCTTTGTGGCCATCTGCCACCCCCTGCATTATACAGTCATCTTGAACCCCCGGCTGTGTAGACTACTGGTCCTGGTGTGCTGGGTCATCAGTCACCTGCATTCTTTGTTACAGAGTCTAATGTTCTTGCGTCTGTCCTTCTGCAAGGACGTCGTTGAAATCCCCCACTTTTTCTGTGACCTTAAAATACTGATACAACTGGCTTGTTCGGACACGCTTCTGAATGACATGTTGATATATATTTTTGCTACGCTCTTGTGGGGTGGGCCCATGGTTGGCATCCTTTACTCCTACTCTAAGATCATCTCCTCCATCCGCAGAATCTCCTCGGCTCAGGGGAAGTTTAAAGCCTTTTCCACTTGTGCCTCTCACCTCTCTGTGGTCTCCTTGTTCTATATCACAGCCCTAGGTGTGTATGTAAGCTCTGCTGGTGCCCACAGCTCACACTCTAATGCCATCCCCTCGGTGATGTACACAGTGGTCACCCCCATGCTGAACCCCTTCATCTACAGTCTCAGGAACCAAGACTTAAAGGGAGCTGTGAAAAGAGTCTTTGGCCGAGCCGCCGACAAGGATTAATCTCCTGGAATTGAAGAACTGACGTGATCGTGGGGGTTCAAAGTGGTGGGAACGGAAATGTCCAGATTGGATGATATCAAGGAATGGGAGATTTTTCATTTTCCTGTGAATTCTAATTTCCTACTAAGTTTTTGTTTGGGGGCCACTCCTGACAGTGCTCTGGGCATACTCCTGGATTTGCACTCAGGAATCACTCCTGCCAGTGTTTGGGGGGAACCCTCTGGGGTGTCAGAAATTGAACCTGGGTTGCTTGGTCAAGCAAAGCTCCCTCTGCACTGTCCTATCTGTTCAGGCCTTCCTATTCAAATCTTATATAGAATTGAGCATGTTTGGGGCTCTACCTGCTCTCAAAATTTCCTCTGTTGAGGTTGGAGCAATAACATAGCAGGTAGGACATTTGCCTTGCACGCGGCCAACCTGGGCTTGATTCCCAGCATCCCTTATGGTCCCCGAGTACCACCAAGAGTAATTCCTGAGTGCAGAGCCAGGAGTAACCCCTGTGCATCACCGGGTGAGACCCAAAAAGCAAAAAAGAAAATAAACAAACTCTTCTAAAAAATTAACCCCCCCCCAAAAAAAATTCCCCCTGTCACTCAGTTTTTTACCCCAATAGATGTTTCCCGTTCTGGATTCAAAAAATTCTCAATTCTGTATTCTAAAGTTTTAGTTTGGCATTCACAATGAATAAAATTTTTTTTTTGCTTTTTTGGGTCACACCCAGGGTTGCTCACACCCAGCAGTACTCAGGGCTTTCTCCTGGCTCTGAACTCAAGGGTCACTCCTAGTGGGGCACAGAGCACTGCTTGGGATGCCCGGGATTGAACTTGAGTTGGTTGCATGCAAGACAAGTACCTGCTGTACTGTCTCACTGGCCATTGGTGGCATGCATTTCTTTTTTTTTTAAATTTTTTTTTGCTTTTTGAGTCACACGCGGCTATGCACAGGGGTAACTCCTGGCTCTGCACTCAGGAATTACTCCTGGAGGTGCTCAGGGGACCATATGGGATTCTGGGAATCGAACTCGTGCAAGGCAAATGCCCTACCCACTGCGCTATCGCTCCAGCCCCCTTTTTTGTTTTAATTTTTTAAATTTTTTATTAGTGAAACACCATGAGGTAGAGTTGTAGACTTACAAACTTTCGTGCTTGGGTTTCAGTTATACAATGACGGAGTACTCATCCCTCCACCAGTGTCCATTCTCCACCACCAATGATCCTAGTAGCCCTCCCATCCCCACACCCCATTCTCCCTGCTCCCCCTCCCTGCCCTTCCTCTGTGGCAGGGCATTCCCTTTTGCTCACTCTTTCCTTCAGTGTGTTGTAGTTTGCAATAGAGGTATTGAATGGCCATTGTGTTCGGTCTATAGTCTACTTTCAGTATGCAACTCACATCCCGAGCGAGTCCTCCAATCATTCTTTACTTGGTGTTCCCTTCTCTATCTGAGCTGCCTTTTCCCCCAGCATGTGCTGAGTGGCATGCATTTCTTAAGAATAAATTCTCTGGGGGCTGGAGCAATAGCACAGCAGGTAGGGCGTTTGCCTTGCACACGGCCAACCCGGATACGATTTCCAGCATCCTATATGGTCTCTTGAGTACCTTCCGGAGTAATTCCTGAGTGCAGAGCCAGGAGTAACCCCTGTGCACCGCCAGGTGTGACCCCCTCCCCCCAAAAAAAAGCAAAAAAAAAAAAAAGAATAAATTCTCTGAGTGATAGTTAGACAATTAGACCAGGTTCTGCTTTTTATTTTTTTCTTTTTTGGGGGGTGGTGGTGGTCACAAGTGGATTAGTCTGGGGCTATTCTGAGTCTGCCCTGAAGGATAACTCCTGACCTGGGGGACCCTAGGGCGTCCTAGGGACAGAACCTGGTCAATGACACACAAGGTAAGTGTCCTAAATGCTCTGGCGCCATTTATTAAAAGCAGCACGAATTTATTACTAATAGAGAAACATTTTGACTTTGGGTACAGGGAGTATTTGTATATTGAATACCATGGAAAGTGAGATCATTGTCATTTTTCTGTCCTTCCTTTCTTTGTATATCCCAAGACTGTTTTGCCCAATGTTATTTGTTATTATATAGAATTAAAAAGGCCCCATGTTTATCTCAAAGACCATCTCTGTGTGTGTTGCTATTAAGTGCTAATGCTGTGTTTAGCTATTTTTATTTCATGCGTTTCTGTGGGATGACTTTCAGTGATTTCTGTGGATGGTCCAACACAGTCCATCCCATTTTGTTCTTGGTTTTCATTTTTTTGGGTGACACCTGGGGATGCTCTGGGTTTCCTCCTGGCTCTAATCTCAAGGAATTACTCCTGGTGGGGATGGGGTTACCACCTGGATCTGAGCAGCAGGGGACTGAAACTGGATTGTCTTTCTGCAAGTCAAACACCCTGCCTGCTGTACTCTTTTTTTTTTCTTTTTGGATTACACCCGGCAGTGCACAGGGGTTACTCCTGGCTCTGCACTGTGGAATTATGCCTGGTGGTGCTCGGGGGACCATATGGGATGCTGGGAATTGAACCTGGGTTGGCTGAATGCAAGGAAAACGCCTTACCTGCTGTGCTATGGCTCCAGCCCCACCACTGTACTCTTTCTCATTCCCAATTTGCTCCCCAACTTCTACCCACATGGCACTGCCTGGTACCCAAAGACTGTGCCACAGACCAGGATGTAGAGTAGGAAGACCAGGAGAAGCTTTTTTGAAAGGCAGTTCCCATCAGGATTCAGGGAACCAGAATGGACGTTGACTTCTAAATTCCTGGTGAATCCTGTTCCTGTTGAAGTTGGAAAAGGGTGACTGGGAAACATAATTTCTCCCCACTGTGTACATTAGGACCTGTGTTCTCTTTGTGTAGGGTGCTCTACTGTGGGTATCTCTAAACACCTCAGCCATCATGGTTGAATATCCTACACGGGCAAGACCCCCTGGTGAGAACCACCTTTGCAAGGGTGAGCAATGGAATAGAGCCACCATCGCTGTCCCCTAATTACTCAGCCAATAACTTGGGCAGGATCACTAAGGGATGCAGAGATATCTTCAATAGAAAACAGAGCTCACAATCCTTGTAGCTCAGAGAATGGAGTTGTGTGAACGCCCAATCAGACATCCCTCAGGGGTGTCCATGAACAATGATTTCCCAATGGGTCAGCATCACGAAGAGCCGAAGCACCCTTACTGGGAATAATGGGAGTTTGCATTCCCACCTGAATAAAAGAGTATCTTTATTTTTTCCCACTTTATTTATACCCAGTGGTTTACAAAATTTTCCATGATGACTTGTTACAGGCATTCAGTATTCCAACACCAATTCCACCACCACGGTCACCTTCCTCCACCATTGTTTCCATATTCCCAACCACACCCTTCATGTCTGCCTGCATTGCAGGTTCAGAAGAATTTATTTTATATTTCTTGTGACCAATAAGTGGCTAAAGGCTGCTACAGAGGAAAGCTGGGGATGGGAGGAAGATTGGGACATTAGTGGAGGAAAGTGGACACTGGTGTAGAGATTATTGTTGGAACGTTGTACACCTGTAACTGAATACCAAGTAGCTTTGTAATTCATGGTGATTCAATAAAATGATAGCACTGTAGCACTGTCCTCCCATTATTCATCGATTTGCTTGAGCGGGCCCAGTATGTATTTGATATGCTAAACACAGTAACAACAAAAAAATGATAGACATAAATAATTATTGATGAGTCAAGAAATGAATAAATTTAAAACATCAGTGGCTAATGAAATGATCAAAAACATTTCAGTGAAAGAAAACTTGTGAAATTGTTATATCTCTCCATGGGGACATGAAGTCCTTATCTGAGGATTTACTGAGCTGTTGTTGCAAGTTTAGTCATCTGTGTTAACATCTTCGTTAGTCAAGATGAGTTGGTTTCCACATTACATTCCTGTCCAATCTAGTGCGCTTCTACTGGGATATCAGTCATGTAGAGTTTTTTTTGGGGGGGGGTCACACCAGGCGATGTTCAGCTGTTACTCCTGGATCTGCACTCAGGAATTACTGCTGGCAGTGCTCGGGGGACCATATGGGATGCTGGGAATCGAACCCGGGTCATCTGTGTGCAAGGCAAACATCCTACCATCTGTGCTATTGCTCCAGCCCCAGTCATGGAGAGTTTGGAGATATCATTCCAGAAAATCCGAAGTATTTAGCTGGGCAACTGACTGGAGGCACGGAAGCAGCTGTTGGGGTGTGAGTGCAGCTACCAGATTTTGGCAGGGCAGGAACTTGTCCCATTCCTCCCCGACATGGCTCTTAGTTTAAGCCCAAACTAGGTAGCTGAGAAATTTTTCCAGCAAGTTGATCTCTTTTGAGATTTATTTATAAGTTTCCGTAAGAAAGCCGTTTGATGAGTTTCCATGGCAGTGGTGGTGGGATATGGGTCGAGTTCACTATTTTAGTAATTTTTTGAGGGGGGGTCAAACCTGGTTATACTTAGGGGATACTTCTGGCTCTGCACTCAGGAATAACTTTTGGCGGTGCTCAGTGGATGCAGGGTCCGTATCCAGGTCAACTGCAGCCAGGCAAACACCCTCCACACTGTACTCTCTCTCCAGCCCCGAGTTCACTATTTTTAGAACACCTGGCACCTAATCCAGCCAGGACTCTTGGTGCCGAGTTTGGAGAAATCTCATATTCTTGGTTGGGGGAACGTATTTTGCATTTTGATCTCTGAAAGTCAGGGAATTGATGGGGACAAAGTGGAAAGCACAGACGTTGCATTGCTTCTGAGCTGTTCTCCAGGGAAGCTTTGGTAATTTTCCGTTATTTACACCCAGCCCAGCGTCTTCCCCTAGGGGAATCCTATTCCGGGTGGAGGGGGAGGTATGGGGGGTGGGGAGATGAGTCTGTGCTAATGAGCAGCTGTGAGGCTTGAACACCTGTCCTCCTCTGGGCCACCAGGCAGTGCACCATTTGGGGCAGGGCACACTCGCTGCTTCTGGAGTCCTGACTCTGGTCCCGGGACTGATGCTGCCTC